TCCTGCCATTCCCTCAGGCAGGTGTCCCCTCATGGAGCTGTGAGGGAAGGAGAGATGGCTCCTGCCATTCCCTCGGGCAATTATCCCCTCATGGAGCTGTGAGGGAAGGAGAGATGATTCCTGCCATTCCCTCATGCAGGTGTCCCTTCATGGAGCCATGAGGGAAGGAGAGATGTCCCCTCATGGAGCCGTGAGGGAAGATGGTTCCCGCCATTCCCTCAGGCAGGTGTCCTCTGATGGAGCTGAAGAAAAAAGGGCGATAGCACGCCCAGAAGCCTCCCTAGGGACTGGTGAAAGGCGGTACCGCCTGCGAGGGCCGTGAGGTGCCGAAAAGTGATCGGAGTATGAGAGCGCAGGAACTGCCACACAGTGACCGGTGTGTAACAGTGCAGGAGGGACGGGAGCTGCCATAATTTGATGATCAGTGTGTAACAGCGCATGAGGGTCGGGATTTGCCACACAGTGACCGGTGTGTGAGGGCGCAGCAGGGACGGGATTCGCCGCACAGTGACCGGTGTGTGAGGGCGCAGGAGGGACGGGATTCGCCGCACAGNGCCGCACAGTGACCGGTGTGTGAGGGCGCAGCAGGGACGGGAGCCGCCAAAGGAGGGCTGTGGCGCACAGCGCATGCGCAGGATCCGGCCCGGCCGCGCGTCCTCGCGGCGCGGGGAGAGGTCTCGCGCGACGGGCGCGCGGCTTAAAAAAGAAAAAAGAAGGCTTAAAAAAAAAAAAAAGAAAAAGAAAAAGAAAAAAAAGGGCGGTGGGCGTGGCCGGCGGCGTCAGCCCCGCAGCGCGCGTGCGCGGCCGTGAGGGGAGCGCAGGGCAGCGCCATATCCCGGCCCCCCCCCCCCGCGCGCCGCCCCGGCACCGCGCGCATGCGCGCTGAGCTGCTGCGGGCACCTGCGCAATAGTGATCCGCCGGTCGCGCTCGGCGGAGAGCGGCCCGGGAGGACATGCTGCCAAATAGTGATCCCTGCCTGCCGGTGGTCTCCTGAGGGGGCTGCGGGGTCCGGCCGCCGTCCCCACACACCGCACCCGCCCGGGCAGCGCTCCCCGCCTCCCTCCGGCCTCCCAGCAGCGCCGCACCGCCGGCGGGGCCGCTCCTCGGGCCGCGAGGTGAGAGCGGAGGGGAAGGAGTTGTGACGGGAGTGGGGGGGGAGCGCAGGGCCTGAGGGACGAGGGGGGGAGGGAGGGTGGCGGGGAAAAGTTGGGGACAGACCTGGAGCGGGGATTGCTGGAGGTCGGCAGGCGGGGGGACAGGGGCTGCGGGTGCCTGGAGCCGGTGAGGGAGCCGGAGTGGGGAGGGCGAGGCGGGCCGCGGTGGGAGCGCCGGCCCGGGCGCTGAGGGTGACAGGTTGTGGCCTGGCCACAATGGGAGCCCGTTCCCCCGGCAGCAGCGGGGCTGCGCTCGCTGGGAACGGCAGCCGGGCTCGCGGCTCTGCTCCCCAGGCCAGGGTCGGGCCTGTGGTGCTGCTTGGAGGAAATGGTGCATCATCCTGCAGTGTGGAAAGGGAAATTATTCCCTTTCCCGGGGAGCTGGGGCCATCCCGGAGCTCTGCTGCTGCCAAGCATCGTCCGCATTCCTGGTGTTCCAGAGGGGAAAGAGCGCCTGGAGTGGGAGACGGAATGGTCTGGGTCTGACAGCAGTTCTGAGAGGGGCAGGAGGATCTCAGCTGTGATGAGACCTGCTGTCAGCTCTCCCTAACTCAGCATGGCTGAATGTGTTTGTGTTGTGACATAAGGAAAAGAAACACTTCTCCCTAATTTCCTCTTTTTTTCCCACTTTGCCTTTGGAGCTCTAAGTGGTGGCTTGTTGTGAAGCCCTCTGAGAGTTTGAAGCATGACACTTATTTTTGCTTTATCAAACAGAACTCTAAACCCTGAATTATTTCAGTGAAACATCCACCTGATTTCCCTTTCAGTGACATTTTCCAACCAGCTGCCCACAATGATTTGGTGTCATTTTCTCCCTTGTTTTGTTGTGACCTGAAAAAACATATTTTTTCCCCCCTTTTGTTACTGTGTTTTGATTGAGCTTGGGACAGCCCAGCAGCAGAATGCTCAGAGGGTGTCGTCCTGTCCCTGCATCAGCAGTGGACAGTGGCACAGAACTGTGCCCATCAAATGGAAACTGCTCCCACGTTTGCCAGCCTGATTGGCTGGAGTGGAGTTTCTGGTACAAAACTACCCCTTTTCTCCCCAAAATCTCGAGGATTTGGGCACAAACACAGGTCAGGGAGGGGGGTTAAAGTGAGGGCATCACTGCCAGCACAGCCCACACTGAATCGCTTCAAACCCCCACAGTTTCTTATGCCATCCTTCCTCCAGTTTCCTGCTGCTTTCCTGTGGAGGAGGCTCCGGTGCTGCCCGTGTCCCTGCTAGATGTTAAACCAGTTAACTGAGCAGCTCTGGCCCAGTTTCCACTGGGGTTAATCTGGGAGCCTCTCCTGGGCAGGGACTGCGGGCTGATCTTGCTGCCAGCGGGATTGTCCTGGGCACGTCCCGGCCTCGCTCCTGGCAGTGCCCGGCGTGGGTTTGCTGCTGGCTCCTGCCCCCCTGGAACTCGGGATCGTGCCGGGCCTGGGCGTTATCCCTGGCAGCTCGGGCAGGAGCTGCTGCTCCCCGAGCAGGGGGAGCTGCAGCCTGGGAACCCCACGGGAATTCCGTGGGATCCCTGCTCCCCGCCCGCTCCGGCTGGAGCTGCTGCACGGCTGGAGGATTATGTAAGATCCCTCTGGCTCCTCAGCCTCGCTCTGCTGGGCTTTGCTGCTCGGTGCAGAGAGGAAACGCAGCACAAACCTGTCGGAAAATGGAGAAAGCCCAAAATAAACAAACGGGGACGGCCAAAACCCTTTTAGTGGGAGAGCTGCTCCTTCGTTCTCAGTCCAGGAGCTGCTGCCGGGAGTTTCTGTGCTGGGAGTTGAGAGCCCTGGAATGAGAACGTGTGGCCAAGTCCAGAAACACCTGACAGGGCAGGAAGCTGCTGTGGGGTGAGGCGTTTGTACCCTCGAGGAGGCGGAGGAGCTGCTGCTGTTCAGAAGCTGATCTGGGAATCGATTGGATTCTTTTTGTTGTTGTTTTCCTGTTTTTAAATGTCCCTTCAGTGCCTGCTGTGGGAGGAAGGAGCTGAGTGGTAATTGAGTGTTGAGCTCTCCTCTCTGGTGAGCAGGGACAGGACCCAAGGGCTGTGTCAGGAGGGATTTGGGCTGGATTTTAGGGATTTAGGGTGGATATTTTAGGGGAAAGCTCTTCCCCCAGAGGGTGGTGGAGCACTGGAACAGCTCCCCAGGGAATGAGCACATTCCCAAGGCTGCCCAGGGATGGGATTTTGGGATGGCCTGTGCAGGGCCAGGAGCTGTGGGGGATCCCTGTGGGGTTTGTGCTGTTCCACGAGAGGTTCTGGAAGTCTCTGTGCTGCTGTGCATGCCTGAGGAGGAGGAGAACACGGAGCAGGGATGAGCTGGAACTGGGAGGGGGGGCTGGGGTTGTTTTGGGGTTTTCCCTCCCTGTTTTTAGGGCTGGAAAGGCACCAAAGACCTGACTGTGGTCAGTGCCTGGGGAATTCCTGGGTGTCCTGGGAGGGAATTCTCTGGCTGCAGGCAGGGCTTGCAGTGCTGTGATCCGAGGTGTCGCTGGCCTCTCAGCTCCAGGGATTTTTAGACATCTGTGGAGTTTATAAAGTTTATTTTTAGGCATCTGTAGAGTTCATAAAGTCAGGATCTTGGCAGGGATTGAACATTCCCATCTGGAAGGTGCTGGTTTGGCCATGGATGCAGCAGAACCCAGGAGGATCTGCTGGTTTTAGAGAAAATAGGGCTGAAATTTTCATATTAAGACCTCGGTTCAGCTTTTCTCAGCCTGTGTTACAGATCCTCCTGGGAATGTTCTGGTTTAAGGTTTAAAAATGGCTTTAGGCACAAACACAAGGTTTAAGTTGTGCATTTGAGGCTGGGTCTGGTGTCACACTTGGGCTGTGAATTAAACACAGCAACGCTGGGGCTTTGAAAATTGATCCAACTTGTGATAACAGAAATAATTTTCCATCAGCAGAGAACGGCCTTGTGCACACCTGGGGCAGAATTAAACACAGCAGAAGTCCAGAGGTTAATCTGAAAATGGGCTAATTTTAGATATTAGGGGTCCTGTGAGGTCAGTAATTGGTGAAAATGCTCTGGAGTGCTCAGCATTTAATTTACAGCATTCAGGGACATTTTGGGTCGTGTCACGCAGAGACTTTTCAGCAGGTGAAATCCCTGCCCGGGATTTCGGGTCCCTGGAGGGGACACCCAGCTGGCACAGCCCCCGTGGTGGCAGCGGCCTGGCAGGGCCAGCAGAGGCTGCAGGGCTCTGAAAGCAGAGCTGGACAGGTCCGAGTTTGTTTGCTGTCCCGGGCCAGGTGAAAAAGTCATTCAGGAATTTGTGTTGTCTTTGAAGGGTGGCTTTGATTGCTGCTCTGCCCACACTGCTCCAGGAATGGGCAGCTCTGCCCTTTCATTCCCTGCCCTTTCCCCCCTTTTTCCTGTTCCAAAGCCACCCTCCTGCTGTCCTTCCCGAGGCTTTGAAGGATGCAGGGAGTAAAGGAGCTTTTCCTGCCTCATCCCTTGTTTTCCTGCTCCATGAGCCTGTCCTGCTCCCTCTCTCTGATTGTTCCCAGGCACTTTTTGATGCTTTGCTGGCCCCAGGAGCAGCCACTCATCTTTTGAACCCCTCAATTAAAAATCTCCTTCCTTCTTTCCCAGCCTGCCCTGAGTTCCCTTTCTGGGAATAAATCTGTCTGGAAGTGGAAATTCCTGGGAATTTCTGCTGTGTTTCTTAGGAGGGAGTTGGTTTACCCTGAGAGGCAGAAAATGACTGATTTTTGGGACAAAAGTCCGGTGATTCCGGAGTCTGTTCCAGGATTGTTTGTTGGGTTTTTGTGCCCACCTGTGGCAGGTGAGGTCTCAGGGGTTTCCCTGCTGGAGGCAGAGCTGAGCTGTGGAGCCTGGAGGGGATTTTGGCAGGACAGGGGGACAAGGGAGCGTTTCCTGTGCTTCCCTGGTGCTCTGGCTCTGCCCTCGGATCCAATGTCTCCATCTGGAAGTGCTTGGGAATGGGGTGAGACTCACTCTGCTCTGAGCTGTGATTTTAACTCTGTCCCGAGCCAGGAGTTTGTTATTTATAGCCAAGCAGTAGCAAACTCTCACTGTACACAGGGGGCCATAAAATAATATTTTCTGTTTTGTTTTCCTGTGCTTTGTTATTTCTGCCTGTGTCTGACGTGTGTCCCTGCCTCTCCTGAGCCACGATATCTGAATTATTTCCCAAATATTTCCCTCAAACCTCTGTGCCTGCCGTGCTTTTCCATCCAGCTCCTGTGCAGAGGTGCCAGCGCTGCTGGGGAGGTGACACCTGGTGACATCTGAAGTGCCCTGAGCAGGCAAACCCAGCCAGTGGAGAATTCCCTGTCAGGGAGAAGACCAGGAGCTGGTTGTGGCTGGAGATTTCATTCCCACCTTCTGGCCAGGGATGTGTGGAACTGCTGTTTCAGGGGATTCCAAAGTTATTTTAAGTTGGTTTTAGGACTTTTAAAAATCCATTCTTTTAACTCTTCTTAAATACAAGTTGCATTTTCAGAGATCGGAGTACCTTGTGTGGCAACGAGTAAAAAGGTGTTTGTTACAAACCAAATCACTGAAATTTACTGCAGTTTTAACAACAGAATGCAGTTTCATGGCCTGCTCTCATGGTTTATTTATTTATTCCCTGTGTTTCTCCTGCTGAAGCCTTTCCATCCCTGACCATCTTGTTGCTCAGCGTGCAGACAGGTGGCCAATCCCAAAAACCCTGCCTGCCTTCCCTGGCTGCTGCTCCTGCTGGAGGAATCCGTGACCCCGTTGTGGTGAGGTGCTGCAGGACACAGAGCCGTGAGCAGAAGGCTCAGCCGGGCTCTTCCCTCTGCCAAATCCCTCCGTCCTGGGCCCCAGGCTGGGCTTTGGGGTGCTTTGTGCTGGCTGGAAATGTTTCAGTGAAACACTCAGTGTAACATCACGTTTTGAAGGTGTTTCGAGGGAGATGGAACCCCTTGAGTTGGTTTGATTTGTTCTCAGTTCTGATGGTTTCTGTCTGCCTCTCTGTGCCCCCCAGGTACAGCTCAGCCCCCACTTCTGTGCTGGTTGCTGATTTTGGTGGTTCCTCTCCCTGCTAGGTGCAGCTGATCTCCATTCCCTGCTGGTTCTGATCTCTGTGGCTCTTCTCTCCCAGGTCCCAGATCTCCGTTCCCTGCTGGTTCTGATCTCTGTGGTTCCTCTCTCCCAGGTCCCAGATCTCTGTTTCCTGCTGGTTCTGATCTCTGTGGTTCCTCTCTCCCAGGTCCCAGATCTCCATTCCCTGCTGGTTCTGATCTCTGTGGTTCCTCTCTCCCAGGTCCCAGATCTCCATTCCCTGCTGGTTCTGATCTCTGTGGCTTCTCTCTCCCAGGTCCCAGATCTCTGTTCCCTG